GCCATGCGTAATAGGTGCTACGAGATTGGGTGGGATGTGGCACCTTCAATGTAGTCATCTCCGTACTCCTCACGGTACTCATGATCCTCGTCCGTCCGGTTCTCCTCCGAGTCTGCAAACAATCGCATTATAGTCGCGTTAGCGACGTCTATAGAATAGCACAAAGAAGCAATAAAAATTCAAAAGAGCCAAATGCACTCAAACATGGGTTCATTGCGTAAAGTTCGATTTTAGATGAATTTTGGTCCTGGTTTTATATTTTTCTGAGGTCGTATGAATTAGTTATGAATTTCCGAAGATTAAATCATCTCTGAAAATGGAAAAAGGCTGAATTAATCCTGGGCTGACACATGTCACGCTGTGACTGGTCCACGTGGCATGCTGACGCTAGCATGACGTCAGCATCTCGATTCCGAGCTAACAGGTGGGGTCCAGCTGACGTCAGCATGACGTCATCAATGTCATCCATTCCGACAGGTGGGGCCAGAGGCTCTTGGGTCACTGACATGTGGGTTCGGCCAAAGTCAACGTCAAGTCAACGGCGAGTCAACGGTCAATGGGTCAGGGTCACTGACATGTGGGGCCAGGGCTGCTGACGTCAGCAGCTGACATCACCGTGACGTCAGCATGACGTCACCTCGGCTGTGTTGCTACTGACAGGTGGGACCCGCGCGACGTTATCATGACGTCAGCATGACGTCACGTACTGACATGTGGGTCCCAAGCCTCTGTGTCGCTGACATGTGGGGCCAGGTCAACAGTCAACGTTGATCGGTCAACGGTCAACACGGACTGGGTCCGAATTGGGCCGGTTGGGCCGGAACAGGGCTGGATTTGGGCCGGGCTCAGCCCGCCACGTGGCATGCTGTGACGCAGCCACGTCACAACCTTGGGCCTCCACTGGGCTGTGGTCCACGGTGGAATCAGGAGCGCTGGTCCATGGACCGCAGGCAGGTCTACGGTGGACCGCGTCCACCCTTCTCTTCTCTCTCTGTGGTCCACGTGCACCGGGTGCATGTGCGTGTGGTCGGCGAGGGGAATTTCCCCTGTTTCCTCTCCCGACGTGCTCCCGCCGGCGGCGAGTGCCCGGTGAGCCTTGCCAACGGCGCTGGTGCACGATTGAAGTGGGTGTAAGCTCCGCTGAGCCTCGGCGTCCTCGTTGGTGGGGTTAACGTGGCGTGCGGGGTCCTGTAGAGTGCCGGCCACGGCGGCGGTCTTACGAGCACGACGGCGGCGGCGGTGAGGTGGCTATGGCCTCGAAGAGGCGACTCGGTGGTGCGTGTGAGCATCACGATGCTCCAGCGGGCTTGTCGGGTAGGTCGAAAGGTCTTCTGGAGCCCCCAGTAGCTTTGGCCACGACGGTCAGCGGCTCGGTGGTGCTCGCTGGTGGTGAGGTCGCGCATGTAGGCTCCCTGGTGGCTCGGCTAGGCGGATAAGGGCTTCAGCGGGTCCGTGGGAGCACGGCGAGGGCATCCAGGGCTCAAGGCGGGGCTTCGGGTCCTCATGTGGCTTGTAGGGGCTCCACGGCATCCACGGCGGCATGGTGGCGACGGCGAGGCACGCAGGAGCACTACGGGGCACTGGTGGGGCGGTCTCGGCGTGGTCGTGGATGTGTGCGTGAGTGCGTGTGTACCCAGAGGCCAGAGATGGCCTTGGCCTACGCGCACCCGGTGTAGAGCGCCATGGCCGAAACAGCATGGTCAGGCGACGAGCAGGGAAGGACTCGGGGGCTCACCGTTGGTGTCGAAGGCGTATGGATGGCGGTGCAGTGGCGGGTTGTGGCCGTGTTGAGTCGATGTTGTGCCGTGCCGAGCAGCAGCGTCAACGTGCTTGATCGGGGCGACGTCCTCCGCTCCGGCGACACCGGCGACGTCGCGCGGCTTCGGCACTCCCCCTTCTTCTTCCTCTTCTCCCTCTGCTCTCTTGGCTCGGGTGCGCAGTGGACGGCCACAAAGTGGCGGCGGGGCATTGAGAGAGCTCAGGGGCTCCCGGGGCTGGGGCTTTTTATAGCCGAGCTCGGCCATGGAGCTCGGTGAACGGCGGATGGAGATCAAGGGGTGATCGGAGGCGCGTGCATCGCATCCAACGGTGGCGTGAGGTTGCGTGAGCGCGGCGCAAGGGGGAACAAGGCCATGCCCCGGGCGTGACCCCCTGGCCCGCTCCTGCCATCGCTGTCGGCCCTCGGTCGCGCGGGCGGTTGAGGCGTTGGCGCGAGGAAGATGAATAGGAAAGCTGACAGGTGGGGCCCGGCAGGTAGCGACAGCAGGCGAAGCGGACGGGCGCGTGGGCGTGAGCGGCGTGCTGGGCCGGCTCGTGGGCCGCGTGCGCGCGCGCTGGGAAAACGGGAAGGGGTTGGCAGGCCGGCTGGGCTGGCTTGCTTGGGCCGAGCTGCTGGCTGCGAGGCCTTCTCTCTTCATCTCTCTTTTTCCTTTTCTATTTTATTTTTCTTCTCCTTTATTTAAATTTCAAATTGATTTGAAATTTGAATTCAAAATTGGTGTACCTTAGTCATTGTAGTTTTAGATATAAGGCCCACAACATTCTTTTATATGTGTATTTTAGGAATTTATTTAGCTATTTTGTATAACAAAAATTAGGTGTAGTTTTGTTATACAAAAATGGAAATAGTTTTCTCTTTATACATTTATTCTTTGGTTTGAGTGATAACTACTTTATGGTTTATTTCTTTAAAGGTGTTGTTAGACATTACATAAAACAAATAAAAATCCAAATCACTATTTGAGTTGACAATGTATGCTATGTTTCATTTATCAGTATTTAAATAAACATGATAACAAATGACATGCTATGCTCATGAAATTGTCTAGTTGGGTTACTTCTAATGCAACACTTAGGGTTGGCTCCTACCATGTCACTCATCATCACATGGGGTTTTGTAGAAAAAAAATTTGTAGTTGTGATTTTTGGTGTGTGGATTTCTGGGTTGTTACAGAAATCTCTACTAAATTCTTCTAATTATTTGTTCCTGTGATCATCATGGTGGCGCCTGCCCTGGGAGAACCAGACAACTAGGTTTGTATATATCATATAAAATTGTTTCAATATGATGATTCCATGACTTTCAATCAGAATCATTGGTCTGGTGGAATCATTGGTCCAGGTTTGCATTTATGATTTTTTGTGTTCACTAAAATAATGTTTCGCTTCTTTCTCTGGTACCATTAGAATGGAACCAAGGTCTCCATCAGCCGGCCTTGACTCATTTGATGTCATTGTTGGTAGAGTATTTCATAAGCATGGTAAACAGTCAAAACTATACTACATGGAGTCTGCAGTCATAAATTTCTTTTCTCGGTTTCAAGATAATTACTGGCATGCTCTATAAATAATGGTATCATGAAAGTCTTTGGTATGGATATTACTTTTTCTTCAGAATTTACTGGTCTATAAACTTGTATCATGGATTTCCTCCTGGTTTGGTTAATGGCTGTGGCAACTGCAGTAAGATTCTTCCCTTCTTCACTGACAAAACAAATTATGAAATTCATGTGCATAGCTTGCATATGTTCTAAGCTGCCAAGAATGTTTTGTTATAAAAGAATAAATACTTCCCTTTCCAACTGTTCATGTTTGTTTTATTGTACTTTGATATCCCTATTGTTCTGGTTAATCATGACAACAAAGCTAATACTTGGTGATAAACAATGCATGGGAGTACCGACACAGGGCTAATCACAAGGTACCCCTTGCTGACGTCTTGGATGATGACATCTCAGCATGTCCTCTAATGGCATCCATTTCTGTGCCGCTCGTTAAGTAAGCAAGAAACTGTTCTTTTATTGTTCCAGTTTACAATCATCACTAACGTCGTTTGTGGTTTTTACATCTGGGCCTCTTTATTCGATCTTACCTCGGTATACTGCTCACAATAATCTCAGCATGTAAATTATATTGCAGATTTTCAGTCTTCACTAACGTTTGGAGCTAACTGTAATTGAAAATTACCAGGGAGAAGAGTTCCAGTGCAGATTGATGTGAAAAACGAGAGGTAGCTAGCTTGGAACCAAGAATATCTCAGTGGCCCACATTTGTTCTGCGTGAGTTTTCTTTCTGCATCAACTCTACCCCTGCAGACAAACAGCATTGTTCCCTTCCAGTTACATTCTATTGGCTACCTCTCCTGCATCTCTCTTAAAAATTGATGTGGTGTTAGAATCAATGCTGTACCAACTACATTATGTAACTGCAAAGAGTTTAATATTAATTTGCAACATCAGTACTGTATGGCTGGTGACACTTGCACATAAAAGAATTGGGCATGGAAGCCGGTTTGTGTCTTTCGCTTATTGGCCAATCAGTATAAACTGGACACAGCCAGAGGCATAAGAAAGTAAATGTGCTTGGCCTGATCGTAAGTATTTTCTCCATAAAAATCTAGCCTTAAGTAAATTTGCTGTCTTCTAGACTAGAACATTAATTCTGGAGCTGACTGAAGAATATCTACTTAGTCATTGCAGTTCTCCCAAACCCCAGACTCCATATCAGACTGGTAAAATCTGCAATGGCATGTGTGGAGTTTAACTAGATGTCTAGATCACAAGTCTCTTCTTATGGTTGCAACTTGGTTTGCTTTGGATAATTATCAACATTACCACTTGTCATGGCTGTTGCAAGATGCATGGAATACATCCTGCATATGATTCAGAACCTTATCACATGGAATACATCCTGCATATGATGCAGGAAGCATTCCAGGAACTTATTTCTGTTTCACTCTGATTGAACAGGAAAATGACACAGTAGTGACACATCATCCATCATCTGAAGTCGCTACAGAGTTGTACAAAAACCACACATCTTGTGTAGATCAATGCCCCAATTTGGGGGGTTCCAAGGTGAGACAAATTAGCTTACACAATCCATGAAGGTCCACATATAAAATTCCATCCTCTTGAGAAATGGTCCTAACCCTCTTCTGTCCTCATTGTGTACATAAGCTGTATGAAACCACAGGAGTTCTTCCTGAGGACAGCAACCAGATGGAGACCATGTCATACCCTTGCTCACCTCTCATCCCCTTCCCCACACATCATGAGGAGAGCAGCTACCTCCTGTGGTCTCCTCAGGTACTGATCCCCCTTGAGAATGGCAACATGTGCAATACCGATGCCGATCCTTCCCCTGATCATCATCAGCAGCAAGATCATGAGCTAATGAACATGCTGATCCAAGAAGCCAATGTCTTGCTGCTTCAAGATGAGTTCTCCAATGGTGATCCATCATTGGACGGTTCCGATCAGAGGCTGGGACGGCAAGAAAATGGCAGCTTGCTGTTGGGAGTCCAGGAGGAGAGCAGTTTAGGCGACCTTCTCGTCGCCGGGGCCAGGGCAGTCGAGTCCAGGGACTCGATCAGCGCCTCGGCCATCTTGTCGAGGATCGATGCAGCACCGGTCAGCTCATCTGACCATCTGGCTTTCTACTTCGCCCGGGGCCTGCGGTCCCGGATCTCCATCGAATGCCGGCCGACTCTTGAGGCACCAGCGCCGGGGAACCGGATGCCGGCGTACCGGATGCTGCAGGAGCTGTCGCCGTTCATCAAGTTCGCGCACTTCACCGCCAACCAGGCCATCCTGGAAGCCACCGCGGACGACCCGGCCGTCCACGTGGTGGACCTCAACGTCGGCGAGGGCGTCCAGTGGGCGTCGCTCATGTCGGACCTCGCCGGCCACGGCAGCCGCAAGCCGTTCCGCCTCACGGAAGCTTTCGTCACGGCCGACGCCGGAGCCGGCGCGCACCGCATGGCGGCCACCGCACGGCGGCTCTCGGAGTTCGCCGCGTCGCTCGGCGTCCCCTTCCAGTACAGCTCCCTCCACGTACGCAGCGACGAGGACCTGCACGGCTTCGCGACGAGCTGCTGCAACGGTGGCGCCTCGTCCTCAGTGATCGTCTCGTGCGACACGACGGATCAGCCTTACAGCTCGCTGACCAGGCTGCAGCTGCTGCTCGCCGGCAGCGTCGCCAGGATCCTCCGGCCAAAGCTGGTGATCACGACAGAGGAGGAGCTCTTCAGGATGGGCCGAAACCCCGCCTCCTTCACGGAGTTCTTCCGGGAGGCGCTGCTCCACTTCGGCGCGGTGCTGGAGTCCCTGGCGAGCTGCTTCCGCGACGGCGGCTACGGCGCGTGCCTGGCGCTCGTGGAGAAGGAGGCGCTGGGGCCGAGGATCCAGGACGCCGTGGGGCAGTACCTGTGCGGGCCTGTGACAGGTGGGGCCTGCAGCGTGGAGCTGGCGGGGTTTAGGGCTTGCGAGATGAGCAGCTTCAGCGTCGCGCAGGGCAGGATGCTGGCTGGGCTCTTCAGCAGAGGGTTTGGGGTTGTCCATGGCGAGGGCAGGCTTGCGTTGTGCTGGAAATCTAGGCCTTTGACCTCGGTGTCTGTCTGGAGTCCTGTGTGAAAAAAAAAACATAAAGATACTACTATATGAATGGTCAGCGTGTCTTTATTTTGTTCTCGAATGCAAAAAAAAAAAAATTCTATTAAAGTCTGCAGTGGGAAATACTAAATCTAGCCATTTTTTAAACTAGAGTTCTAGACATTTTGATGTGGCCATCCACACCTAATCTCCTATGTATAGCTGACTCGAATAAAAACGAAGGCCCGTTCAGCTTGCTGAATCTTGATTGAAACTAGTTGAAAAACACTGCTCTGGCTGAATTATTGTGAGAGAAAAATACTGTTTCGGCTGAAAAAACAAGCCGAACAAGCCGGTTTCTGGGTAAGCCGAACAGGGCTGAAGAAGTTTTTAATTGACTGGAGGCGGGGGTTTTTAATTTCGGTATTAGAAAAAAAATTCGACCACCCATGAAGTCACCGGAATTTCCAAAGTATATTTTTCTAAAAATTAAATCTAAACAAAATATTAGAATGATCTATGACTACACATCTATGTGCAACATAAACAATACTCCCTCTGTTCCAAATTATAATACTCTCTCTCTGTTTCAAATTATAAGGCAATTTAGCTTTTCTGGATACATTGTTTTTACTATATATCTAGAATACTGTGCATTTGAGTGCATAGCATAAAGCTATGTATTTTAAAAAAAGCCAAAACTTCTTATTATTTAAAATGAAGGGAGTGTAAAATATAAGTCTAGAGTTATATTATATAGCACATGAATTAGTGTAATACGAAATTTCAGATTTTTTTTCCTTTTCAGCCACCCATGAAAATATCGAAATTCACGAAATTTCGCTGAAATTTTGAACCATGGACTGAGGTTTGAATGTCGCTCTAGGGTGGGATTACCAGAGATGCTGATGTGCTTTCGTGGGTTTAAGCGATCTTTGGGATGGTAGATGTTGAGCATGGCAAATGAGGCAAGCTGCCACCAACTTGCAGGTGGTCATGGGAAGAAGCCATTGGACGTTGCCGACGGCAGAGGATGCGAAAACTGTGGTAGGTTAGGAAGAGTGATGGTGAAAAACGGAAGATGGAAAACACTATCATTATAAAATGGCAGAAAGAATAAATATACATAATCAAACTGAGGCCAGACTCTGAAGTTTGGTCACTGCAAATTGATTTTATGTTCAAGCTATTGTAGTATTTCCCATTATTCCTATATCAAGGGCTCTAGGCCCTGCTGGATACACATTCTGTGACTACACGATGCGATAGCAGAGTCGTGGTCCGAGACCTGTGGTATGAGAAATCGAACTTAGTTCATTCTTACGGTGGGTAAGTCTTGCACGGTGAACAGAGTCATCGATACCGCGAGGCGTTTGGTAAGATTTTTCCAATTCCCGCGGTGGGGCAACCGAGAATTTGAGTCTTACCGGTTCCAAACAGGGCCCTAGTCATCATTCCTCTTTTTCTTTCTTTTCTTTTTGGCTCTACCCATTCATCTTTATTTTTTTCTTTTGTTATCCTACCCATCATCAATGAGATTACATCATGGCTTTTGTCCAGTGGTGGATCTAGAAAAAATAAGTTAGGAGGGTCTTCTCCCATTGTCTTTCATCTCTAGCTCCTCCTTCCAAGCTTCCATAGGAATGAATTTGTAGGGCTCCATGCTTCGACGATAGCGGGCCCCTGCTTTTATCAGCACACACTATCCATTCTTCAACTAGTTTTCCGTTACCAACATAGTCCACCACACACGATGGCACAGTCAACCACACTGTCACTACCCCAAATCAATTTTCTCCCTACGGCCTTGAGTACTCCCCTCGGTCCCGCCCTCCCGTCACGGGCGCTGCGTGTTCCCTGACGTGTACGCGAGACCTGAAGCGAAAAGTATGTTCACCGTCAAGGACGCTCTAGGCGCACCCGAAAAACAAAACCGCGCGCTCTCATCCATTGTCAACATGAGCCAGGAGTGCATCCACTAGAACAGCTCGAGGGTTTAAGCCCCTCCCCCTCCCACTACACTATGACACACGTTTGCCTACAGCTGGTAAAAGGTGAGTTTCAACTACACAGACATATCACTTCACACACACGCACAGAGACTATAGCCCAATGGGAAGAAGAAAATAGAGGGAGGAAAATATATTGAAGCTGGCCATGCTTGACCTTGGTTTGCGGCCAACACTGCTAGTGTGGGCTTTGTTATCATTCATTTTTCTGCACTCATGGCCAAATCTTGAAGGGAACCTTCCTTAGAAACCTCGCACCCAAGTTGTTATTACTAGTTAAGTACAGCGTTCAGTAATATAAAATATAAAGAAATGTAAGTATGTATTTAGCAAAACCTAAATTTTAATAAATGTGTTCCAATACGATAGGCAATCAAGTTCAGATTAAACAAAATATTTTATTCTAATGTGTTTTGGAGATTTTATTATTTGTATTTTTCTTGATATAAATATAGATATTAAATTATATATTAAGTAGAAAAATTATGTTTATTTGTGGGAGGGGGGCCATATGGCCCCTATCGCTCCTGGCTCCGCCCCTGACTGCAGCTGCCTCAGCCTCAGTCTCAGGCAGCCTACCTCCCAAAGAATGCTATTCCACGTCACATGAACATGGAGCAGCTGACATTTCTTGTTCTTTGTAAAAAGAACAATAAAAAGAAAAGCAGGATCGTGCCGTAACAGATGCTTAGATGTAAGGACTAGTAGTGAAACTAAATTTGTTTCCCTATCCGCCCTATCCTCAATGAGTGGGCATCCGTTGTAACTTTCTTCAGGTGTCAATTTCTCCGGAGAAAGTTTCTTCCTGCATGGAAGGCACTAATAGACTGGATCAACCATCAGCTGCCGGCTGATCATATGAGCGAGGTAAATGATTAGAGGATGGTTTTGGTTTTACAGGCTTACAGCAGCACTCGTGGAGATTTATCTCGGTGTCTCTTCTCCTGATTGGAGCCACGTGTCGTGCTGCCATGCATTCTCCTCCGGTTGATGCATGCAGCAGAAGTTTCTTGAAACCAAGCTATATATATGGTTTTTTTTGTCAGGTGAGATCGTGATGTTCAGGTGGAACGAATTAAAAGGCTACGGGAGCGAAGGAAACGACATGGATGGTGATGTATCATGTATGTATATACCGAAAAGGCAATGCAGCCCTTTCTTGGCACTTGGCTGCTGCCAATCTGGCACTGCATGTATATAGCTGCTAAATCAGTAATGGAATTGTTCTGCTGCTGGCGGCCTGATTACATTAATAACGCATTACATTAAATTACGCTCTGCATAACTGTCAATGGATGCGCTGACCACTTCTCGTGTGTCGTGGTGGTGCCATGCATGCATCCATGCTAATGCAGGTCTCTGACAAGAGAAAAATGAGAAGGTCATGATGGCATGCGGTGCGTCATGAGTAATCTGTTTACGAGTTATGACTCTTGCGTCGTCGTCTCGTCGATGCAATTGAAATAGCTGTATCGTTTCTTGTTTACAAAAACATTGTCATCTTTTGCATGGCTTGTTTGATTGGAAAAGAAAGATACATTGCAATTGCATAGTGATGCGGGGGGCGTCCCCGTGTCCCATCCTAAGCCTATGCCCACCTTCCATTCCGCGCCAGCGCCCCGCGTCCCCATCCCACACCTGCGTCCGGACACTGCACCTTATCCCCACCCCAACGCCAACGCCAACGATGCAGGGATGACCAACGACCGGTACTGGAAGCAGCACAGAACACACGACGGCGAAGCCACTGGGGAGAGGAGGACGGTCCATCGTTAGGCCGCACACCTCGCTAGAAGTGGAGGAGCATGCCGACCGCGCAGGCGCCGTGGACGCGTCCAACACCGATAGCAGGCCGCAGGCCATGGCGGAGTTGGAGGTCGCGGCTAGATCCAAGCGCTCCAAGCTCCCGTCTTATCTCATCTCCTCTGCAACGTCGCTCCCATCGTTGCAACATATGCAGTATACGTTTGAAACGTTCAGATCTACTTTTGCAACATAATAGTATAGTTCTTGCAACATTCATATCAACGTTTGCAGCATTCAGACGAAACACTTGTAACATTTGGATGAAACAATTGCAATATGCGTCTGAAACAGCTGAAACATCCAGATAAACACAATTGCAACATACATCTAAAAACAGCTGAAACATTTGAAACATACGCTTGCAACGTACGTGTATCAAAGATGTCCCCTGGGTAAGTCTGGTCGGGAACAAATACTATGATGAAAAGGTGCCACACGCCACCAGAGAAGTGGGATCCTTCCGGTGGAAGGATGTACAAAGATTGAACACTGTCTTCAGAGGCATAGCCCGCTGCACCATTGGAGATGGCACCATAGTTTCCTTTTGGGAAGATCTCTGGACTGATGAAATACTTGCTCACCGTTTTCCCAGATTATACTCCTTTGCTCGGAACTCAAGCATAAGCGTTAACGAAGTGATGTCTGCTGAGGATCTGGATAGTCTGTTCATGATGCCACTATCACAAGAAGCATTTGATGAGCTGCAAATGCTAAGCAATGTCTTGCTGACCCAGACCTTTGATGAACAAACCAAAGACATCTGGATGTACCAATGGGGTAATGCCACATATTCATCAAGGAAATTATACAAGCTAGCTTTTCAGAATGTGCCAACGCATCCAATCTTCACATAGCTTTGGAAATCCAAATGCACGTCGAGAGTTAAATTCTTCGCCTGGCTAGTGCTTGTGGATAGATTGAACACCAAGGTAATGCTAAGAAGGAGAAACTTGTTTGATGAGGAGGACGAGGTCCATTGTGTTCTTCGCACAGAAGGGATGGATGAAGACCTGGACCATCTCTTTTTTGAGTGCGCTTTCTTCAAGAGGTGTTGGGAGAAAATTGGTGTTCAGTGGAACAATAATCTCAGCTTATATCAAAGGGTAGCACATGCAAGGCAGCAACACAACATCCCATTCTTCATGGAAGCAGTGGTCATTGCAGCCTGGGAGATCTGGAAGCTTCGGAATGATCGAGTCTTCAATAATGGTCCTGTTCATGTAGACA